TATTAATAAAAATAAGATAAATAATTTATTTTTTAATACTTATTAGTTTTTTTATACACTACCAACTTATTTTATTATATTTAAATTTAAGAGATATATAATAAAGAATAAACTACAATAAATAAAAACAAATTATAATTGTATAGATTATCTTTATAGATTTAAAATACTAGCATTTCATAACAATTTGGTCTTTAGGAAAATAGAAGTAAGAAAATACTCAATGCCATTCTACAAATGAAACAACTGTAAAGAGAACTAACCTTCATTATGTGGAGGACCTAAAGTAAATAACCCATTGTCCATAGCAGTAACATAGGTCTGAGAACCAAATTCAAGAGCTACTGGTCCTGAAATTTCGCTTACTGATTTAGCCTCTGCCCAGTTTCCTATAAATAAAAAATAATTTTTAAATTTTATATAGAATATTTAGAACAAATTGCTTAAACATCAATGTAACTACCATGGTTAATTTTGTCTTGATTTTCTTCAACATTAATTTTTTCATCCTTATTCTTAGATTTGTCTTTTTTCTTCTTCTTTCTGAAAAGAATCAAATAAATATTTATTTTATTATTAGATATTACATATTCAACATTTGTATATACAACTTAAATTCTTTTCCTGTGACACAATAATAATACACTACTTCATACTTTAAATATTTTTTATTTTTTGCTTTTACTTGCTTCAAGTTGTATAGCAGTATAAATAATTAAATTAAAAATTATTGTCTTACGGAAAAAATTTTCAAATATTAACTGAAGCATTGATTGTGTTTTGACTTACTTGACTTTTTCGTTTTTTAAAACCAATTTGGATACTCTGACTTTATTGTACTCCGACATTGTAAAATTTTACGCGATTGTGAAACAACGTTGAGTGAAAATACAATGATATTRGAAATTTGGAAACTAAATTATTACGTTAAGTAATAATAAATTAAATTAATTGTCTATATAGTTATTAGTTACAGAAAATTAAGCGATGTTTACATTTAACATTTAACTTTTTTAGGGATGAATGGATGATAATAAAAATTATATAAACATTGATGATAAGAATATGATCCAGGGTGGGTCAACAACAAAAACTACTGATGAATGTAGATGAATAAGCAAGCAGCAGCCTGCTGCAGCAGCTGCTGGCGCAGGCGTTATCAGACTAATGATTAAACTCTGTACAGCGATGTAATCATTATTTACTGTGATTAACTTTTAAGACCTGTCTCCATCTCCATTTCAAGTGTTTTATGGTATACACATTACACATAAAAAGTTCAGCAGTTCAGAATTAATCAGCAAGATAGTACTCACAATTCACTATTATAATTTTTTTTTAATTAAAATTAATTTTCACATTACTTATCTCGCCTAAACCTCGGCTGGTCGGACACTGGACAGTGGACGACGTGTCTGGTGGACGTCCCATCGGCCATCATTATTTAGTCACCATAACAGCTTCAGATTACAGGACGCTGATCAGTGACATTTCTCATAACTGTGAAAACTGAATAAAGATTACTACTGTGACTTCCAGTTTAAAACTATGACGAACGCTTAAAAACACTAATCATATATTAAAACGATAACTTCTTGTTTACTGTGAGTGGTGAGTGTCTCCTAAAGTTCGATGCTACCTAATACATTCGAAAATATTATTGTGGTAGTGGTTCTCGTGTTTTCTTTTACTAAAAATTGTATTCAACAATCGTTTATGTAGCGTGCTTACATGATGGTGGACRAACAAAAAGAACTTGAGGATCAAGAGATCATTGTAAACGAAGTCGATGGATTACCCAGTTTACTTGATGAAAAAAATGATTTATACAAAGCCGTGACCTCTGAACAATCCTCATTGGACGATCTAAATGATGAAGATTTGCCTACATCGTTAATTGTAACTAATGTTGATCCTGCAATTTTTAAAGACGACGATCTTAAGGTTATATCTTGTTTCTTTAATTACTGTAAATAATTTGTCAATAATATTGTTAAAATAATTTTGCAGAAAGAAATGGAAATGTTGTTTAGCCGATTTGGAGAAATAATTTCTGTTCAATATTTCCGTAGCTTTAAACGAATAAGGGTTAATTACGGCACTTCAGTATCTGCTGCTACTGCCAGAATTCAGATGCATCAAATAAGGTTTTATGACACCATAATTAATTGCTACTTTGCACAGGTAAATTTTGCTCAAATTATATGTATTATATGAGCCATTAAAATAAAATTCTGATTTATTTAAGCCTGTCACACCAATTGATGCAGCGGATCAACACTTACAACTACCGGCTCCAGTTAAACAGTTTTTAATATCACCTCCACCATCACCACCTGAAGGCTGGGTACCTAGAGCTGAAGGCGAACCTCTCATTAATTATGATTTACTAGCTGCTATTGCAAGTCTCACACCAGGTAATTGCATAATATAATTTTGCTTCATGTATACTTACATATTTTTATATGTGTATGAGTTATAATAATATTATAACTTACATTGAGTGACTTATTAAATATACATGTATTTTCTGAAATGGGCTAACAATATTAATTTAAATATTATATWTAACTCACATTGGGTTCCATCACTGGTTGGCCTCCCTCTTAATATTATTCAAGGTAATAATATTGTACATAAATTATCCTATTTACTTATTGTGCTGTCAAATACAGATTGTAAATATCAAATAAAAAATAAAAATAATAATAAA